GGGGGTGGGGAGGGAGGGGTTGCAGAGTATATGTGTGTGGGGGAGCGGGGTGGGGGGGGGACGGTCATGATCGAAGTCGGTATTGGACCGGCTGAGCCGCCCAAGATAACGTGGGAGAAGAGGACGAGGGGCGCGCTCCCCGGGTGTCCCCCACAGTGCGGGCCACTCGGGGGTGCCCTCGGAGGGGTGAGGAGAAATATGCTGACCGCCGGAAACGTCCGCATTTCTGCTTGGCCGCGGCATCCCCTGGGCGGGAGTTTCCGGCGAGGAGCAGCGAGATGCAACTGAACCGCACCTGCGGGAAGGTCACACGTCCCCCAAGAAAGCAGGCCACTCAGGGGTGCCCTCGGAGGGATGAGGAGAAATATGCTGACCGCCGGGAACGCCCGCATTTCTGCTTGGCCGCGGCATCCCCTGGGCGGGAGTTTCCGGCGAGGAGCAGCGAGATGCAACTGAACCGCACCTGCGGGAAGGTCAGCTCCAAAGGTCCGCGAGGGCCCCCGGTCCCGCCTCTCTGGCGAGAAGCAGCGAGATGCAACTGAAACGCACCTGCGGGAAGGTCAGCTCCAAAGGTTTGCGAGGGCCCCCGTTCCGGCCGCTGCCCGTGCGGTGCCCCGGGATGGAGAGCTCGAGCCAGCGCCCCCACACCCCCGCTTAGCGCGCCTCGGAACTCCCACTCCTGGAAGGTGTGTGCCTCCTCGCCAGTAATTAATTGCCGAACTCAAGGGGGAATATGCAAACCGCACATTACTAACTCTACAGGGCTTAAGTGATTGGAAACAGATTATTATCTTGTTTGTCTTTTGTCTGTTTTACTTATCCCGCCACCGTCTGTCGAGTTGTAATGTTGATACTCTTTACTCTAGGAGGAAGATTTTTATATAGGAAATTCCATCAACATCTTGTATAAGTGACATTGTATCTCCATGCATTACCCTGTTAAGACACAAGCGGTTTATTAGTTACATATAGGAGGGGATTTCGCTGCCTGGTCGCCATCTGTTAGCGCTGTTAGGGCGGGATAATTCGTCTAATAGTTGGTCTGCTGGCGTTTTGTTTTAGGTGTTTTTTGTTGCTTTTTGCTTTGGATGCTGTGTGGAGGGCTGGCGAAGGACAAGCAGTCTCCCCTGCAGCTGTGCTGGGGACCCCGGGTGGCTCCAGGGGGGCTGTGACCTGGACAAGATGGGTAGAAGTCCAGACCAGAACTTGGGGAAGAAGAGACCTCACCTCCGACAACGGGACATTCAGCCCCAGGTGACTCACCACACCCAGGCTCTGGGAGCCCCAGGGCTGCTCCCTGAGACCGCCCCCTATTCCTGCCATCCCCCTGGCCTGGCCCACAGCTGCTGGGACCTGCTGTGGCAGCCAGGAGGCAAGGGCAGGTGGATGTGTCTGTGATGGGCCGGCACGCAGGCATTGAGCCCCAGCCGCGTGGACAAAGCGGGCCTGGGAGGACCGGGCAGCCCTAACTCGGTGGGGTATTGGGCTCGGTGGGCTCGGTGTGCCTAGTCCAGAGGCCATCAGATGGGGGCTTCTAAGGACTGTAGGGGTCCTCCCTCTGTCACCCCAAAGTCTGTGCCGTGCAGGATGGGGATGGTTGATTGCAGCGATGAGTCGGATGCTGGATTTGGACGCCCAGCAGAGAGGCAGAGGGAGGGGAACAAAAACAAGAGGGAGAAATATAGAAACAAAGTGATGGAGACACAGAGGGAAAGGGAAACAGGGCGAGAACAGAGGCTGGACACAGAAGAAAGGAAAACATGCGAGGGAGCGAGGAAACCCAGTGAGACAAAGGCAGGTAGACGGCACTTCGCCCCCACAGGAGCCTGGGTGCCGCTCCTCTCCTCTCCTCCTCTCTCCTCTCCGTTCTTGTTTCTCTCAAGGACCCTTCGTGCCCCAGGAGGCAGGGCCAGGCACTGCTGGAAACTGTGGCTTCATCTGGGGCCCCTGGAGCCCTACCCTGGGCCTGGGCGCCTGGCCGAGCCTGGCCGGCAGCAGCCCCACTGTGCTGTGTAGACACCTGTCCGTCAGCCAGCGGAGGGTGGGAGAATAGCACCATCAGGCAGAAGCTGCCCATTTGGGGGCCTCCTTTTCAATGACAAGGCTTGTGGGTCAATACCCCACCCGGTGACCAGCATCTGTCCATCCCTGTGCCCAGCCCGATTCCCTCCCCTGGAGCCTGGGGACCGCGCTAGGCCTGGACAGGCACTGCCCCAACACAGGCACCCACACATCCCGCCCCCCTCTACATCCACAAGGTAAAATGCTGTTAGGAGCACACACACAAATATGCCCCCCCAAAACCTACAGGAGTGTCATAAGCAAAAACTACTACATGAACAAGCACCCACACCTGTGATACACATAGTGAGGGGCACACAACACAGACCCATACAATTCTGCTCTTACACACACCCCGTCCGGACTCAGTGACACACACACACACACACACACACACACACTCAGATTTTTAAAAGTCCTTCTTCACACTGACGTTAGCACACATGTACACAAATAATCTTACACAAATGCACACTCACATGCAAACACCCTCACATTCGCATGGCCGCAGGTAAGCATCTACACACATACACGGGCCAAAAAACCAAGAGTGCACAGAATAACACACAGACATTAGCAGAACCACACACAACTATAAACACAAATGCACACAGAATACACACACCAAACTGTACTCACGTGACTGATTACTGACTATAAACAGGTGAAAATGCCATTCTCAAAACACACACTGACCAACTCGTAAACTACCCTAACACACGGCCAAGTCCAGTCTTCGCGCAAACACAACCCCCGGGTTCCAGCGCTTGAGCCCAGGCCTAGCGTTCCCTGCCAGCAGCAGCCGCTTTCCAGAGAGGGATGGACAATCCCTCGGCCCTCGGGCCTCCCTCAATCGGAGCGCCCATCCCCGAGCTGACCCCTTGGAAAAGGAGGCTTGATCCCCTCCCTCTTTGCCCCCAGACCCACACCAACACCCCTCTCCACACACACACACACACACACACACACACACACACACTCCCAGACGCTTGGCGCCCCACAGAGTGCTCTTCCTGCGTCCTTTGAGATAGAACTTGCACACCCATCTCGCACGCCCGCGTGTGTGAGAAGCGTCCGCCCCATCGCTAGCGTTCCCCACCTTGGCGGTGTGGTGCCCCGACCCGCTGGACTGAGATCTTGAAGGTGCAACGAGGAAAGGCGAGACCTGTGACCGCCACCACCTCTGAGCTGGCTCCAGGAAGACCCCTCGCCTCGACCTTCTCCTCCCCACATCTCTTCCGGAGCTCCGTGGGCGTGGAGCTCAGGCCTGAAATTCAGGGGTCCTGACCAGGGCAGATAACACGCCTCCCCCTCTCCCCAACCTGAACCTGGCCTGTTTGGGGGGAAATACGCAAGCCCAAAGGCCTCCATTCATTCTCTCTCTCTCTCTCTCTCTCTCTCTCTCTCTCTCTCCTCCCCCCCCCTTTTATCTCCCTCTCTCCCTCCCAGCCCCCAAAGGCCACCTGGGACTTAGCCCCTTGTATGACAAAAGAAGCCAGCCGGGCGCTGGGAGCCCGGTGAGCTGCGCTGTAGCAGCTCCAAGGCGCAGACCCCGGGGAAGCGCCCGGGAGAGGGATTCCAATCTGGACGGCTGGGCTGGGAAAGAGAAGGCGGATTAGCGTGTGCTCCAACCCCGGGCAACTTCTGCAAGTTCCAGGGGTGGCGAAGGGGCAGAGGTCCCTTCCCCCACTAGGCCCAGGAATCCCGGCGCCCCCCCCCCAAATATTT